CGGCTCAGGCGCCGCGCCAGGGAGGCACTCGCCCCTCCGCCGCCGGTGGCTGTCGACCTGGGCCTCCTCCGGAATGGCAGTTGGGTTGGGGAAGGGTCCCTCCTCCAGAGCCTGCCTCCTCCGTCTCCGACCGCTCCTCCTCCTCCTCCTCCTCATTCTTCTCCTCCGCCTCTTCCTCCTCCTGCTCCTCCTCCTCCTCCTGCTCCTCCGCCTCCTCCTCCTTCTCCTCTTCATCTTCCTCATCATAGTAATAATCATCATCAGCAGCAGCATCATCAGCATCATCAGCAGCAGCATCATCATCATCATCAACACCACCAGCATCATCATCACCACCATCATCATCACCACCATCATCAGCAGCATCATCATCAGCATCATCACCATCATCGTCTTCCTCATCATATCATCGTCATCAGCATTATCACCACCATCTTTAGCATTCTCATCATCAACAGCAGCATCAGAATCAGCATCAGCATCAACATCATCATCATCAACATCATCATCATCAACAACATCATCATCACCATCATCATCAACATCATCATCACCACTTCCTATTCCGTCCTCCTCCTCCTTCCTCCTCCTCCTCCACCCTCTCCTCTGCCCCCCCTTCTATTTATTCCTCCTCCTTTTCGGTGCTCTCCTTCTCCTCCCCCTCCTCTTCGACCTCCATCCCCTCCTCCTTCTCCTCCTTCTCCTTCTCACACTCCTCCTCCCTCCTCCACGCCCTTCTCCTCCTAACCCCTTCCTATTTCTTCCTCCTCCTCCTCCACCCTCCCCTCCGCCCCGCCATTTATTTCTTCCTCCTCCTCCTCCGCCCTCTACCCTTCCTCCTCCTCCTCCTCCTCGTCCTCCCCCCTTCCTCCTCCTCCTCCTCCTCCTCCTCCTCCTCCTCCTCCTCCTCCTCCTCCTCCATTCCTTCTCCTTCTGGATAACTTCTCCCTGTCGCACCCCGAAGCCAGTTTCGCCTGGGACTTCCTCACCCTTTATCAGTTTGAAGACTCCAAAATGACAACAGCTTCACAGATGGAGGGCGGGTCGTTTTCAAAATGTGGCTCCCGCCTTAGCGCCGCGCTCACTCATTTACAAAAATTGCAAGACTTTCACGGATTGAGGGCGGGTCGATTTCAAAACGTGGCTCTCGCCTTAGCGCCGCGCACATTCGTTTTTAACATGTGCAAGAGCTTCACAGATTGAGGGCGGCTTGTTTTCAAAACGTGGCTCTCGCCTTAGCGCCGCGTACATTTGTAACCATTTGCAAAAGCTTCACATATTGAGGGCGGGTCGATTTCAAAACGTGGCTCTCGCCTTCGCGCCGCGTACATTCGTTTTTGTGTGATTGCAAGAATTTCACGGATTGAGGGCGGGCCGAGTTCAAAACGTGGCTCTCGCCCTAGCGCCGCGCACATTCGTTTCAAACATTTGGCGGCGCGCGAGGGGGGGATGCGAGAGGGAACGGGCCTCCACAAGAGAGGGCGGCGGGGCCTCTCGGAAGCCCACCGGGGGCCTTCTGAGAAAGTCCCCTGTGGCCTCGGCGAAGGCTTAGGTCGGGCATGTCCCCCTACGAAAGGATTTTGGACGAGAAATGCAAAATACAGTCAAAATGCACCAAAATGGTCAAAAAACAACTCCTCCCAAAAACGTCCCAGGACTATGTTTTACTATTTTTGAATATTCCTCCTTGTAGAGGGACAGGCCCGACTTCGGCACAGGCCTGCAGCACCTCTCCCAAGCCCTGGGGCCCTCCGAGCCTCGGGCGAGGCCCCGCGCCACCCCCCTTCGGGGACCTTTTGACCCGGGTCAATCCAGACCCGGGTCAGTCAGGCCTTGCATGATCCTGCAAGTCATGCAAAATCCTGCACCTAAGCCCGGGTCAATGCGAAGGATCCTGCAAGATCCTGCAGGATCCTGCACCCAAGCCCGGGTCAATGCGACCCTGGCCCTGCAGGATCCTGCAAGATCGGGGGCTCTTTGGCGGCGCGCACAAGGGGGTAGGGGGAGGGGGGAAGGCTCCTTAGAAGGAGGCTGCTTCTCAGAAGGCGCCGGCCTTGCATCTACAGAAAAGGCCCGCGCCCTCGAAGAAGCAGGGGTGCTTCTGAGAAGCCTTCCCCCCTCCCCCTGCCCCCCTCTGCGCGTGGCCCGGCTCTGGCTGGACCCCCGTTTGCGTGGACCCCCGCCTCGAGGCGCCCGACCCCCCCCGCCTTCCCGGTCCCCCCGGGGGGCGCGCCGCCGAGGGGCCTCGGGCGTGCCAGCGCGTCGGGGCGAGAAACGCGCGCGCCCAGGGGCGGCACCGCCAGATCCCTCGCGCGAGTCTGGCGGGCCTCACGGAAGGGGCCCCGGGACACACAAATAAATGCACACAGATAAAAGGATTCCTCAGACTGTCCTACATTTTCTGGGCTGTTGTCTTCCCCCTCCGCTTCCCGTAGTTTCCCATATCTTCTTGGGGATCGACGATTAATTGTGTCTGTGTGTTTCTTTCCCTCCTGACTTACGTCGGGCGTGTCACCCTACAAAGGAAGTTCGGGGGCGAGAAATCAAAGATAGCCAACAAAAACTACATCCCAGATGGTCAAGAATAGGCCAACATCTTCCCCAGACTATTTTTGGACTGTTTTTGGATTTGTCTCCTGTAGAGGGACGGGCCCGACTTCAGGCTGGCCCTCTCGTGAGCACTCTGTGTAGGGTCCCAAACCCGGACAGCAAGGCGCCAGGAGGGCGTGGAGAGGTCCATCGAAGAACCCCGGCAGCTCCCGGGGAGAGCCTCCGCAGGACCTCCTGGAGAGCTTCCGGGCACGCGCATCTGGCCATCGCTCGGACGTCCATGCCCTGTGTTTTTTTGTCGGTTTCGTGCGTGGTTGTTTCGCCAGATGATCAAGGATGCTCCTCGATGGTCCTCGCCGAAGGAAAAATACACACGTCCGAGCGATGCCAAGGCATTGGGAGACCCTCGGAAATGGCCTGCTGGAACACGCTGCGACCTCAAGCCGGCCGCGGCAGCGCAGGAAGACGGGCGCCGGAACGAGCTCCGGGGCTACCCTGCGGCTCCGGCTTCTGATTCCAAAACCCTGCAGCCATCCAAGGAGCTGTGCGGGAACTTGGAAAAACATCCCCAGGTGCGAAACACGCGCACGGGCCGAGGGCATCCTTGGGAGAAGGACCCCCCCCCGTCCACGACCCGGGTCAGGAGGAAAAGAAGGCAGGTGATGGGCGGGTGGGGAAGTAACGGGAGCATGGTAGCGAGGAGAAGAAAGAAGAGGAGGGTAAGCAGAAACACACACAAACACATGCACACACAAACACAAACAAACACAAATAAACACACACACACACAAACACAAGCACATCAGAAGCATCCGGGAGGCCAACACCAGGACACTGATACTGATATTGAGGGGGGCGATTTGCTGGAATAGGTCACTAGGAGCAGCAAAAACGCTGGGACACTGTGATTGCGATGGGGAAGATGATGATGCCGATCATGGTGCTACTAAGAATGATGATGCCGAAGATGCTGATACTGATGATGATGATGGTGATGATGCTGATGATGATGACGATGATGATGATGATGATGATGATGATGATGATGATGATGACGATGATGATGATGATGATGATGATGATGATGATGATGATGATGATGACGGTGATGATGGTGTTGATGCCAGGTTGTTTGGTTTCGATGGTGTTGCTGTAATCACTAGTGGTGCCAGTGCGTCAGCCTCTGGAGCAGCAATTGGTGGCATCGTGTTAGAACTGGCGTTGGAGCTCATAAGCGCCAAAGCTTCGGCGCGCCCTCTGTGCTCGAGTCTTGACCCGAACTCCACAAATAATTCATGGTGGCTCGGATCTTGGGTTGCGCCAGCCTGTGTAACTGTTTTTTTTGCCGCGCTGTCTTGTGTCCCGAGTGTCGGGTGGTCCTGCCCGAAACAGCGAGGTTGCGTTGGTCATCGGAATTGCTGAGCTCTGTGAAACGTCGGTCTTTTGCTTAGATGGTATGCATTGCTGCTCTCGACGCCTCGGCGAGTGGCCTCGCCCTTTCTGAACTGGACTGAGAGCGTCCATGAACACAGAGTCCTCTTTGTCGTATCTCCCCGATGTGGGCTGCAAGCTGCACAAGAGGCGCAACTGGGCGTAGTGTTGCTTGTCCTTCGCACGTTAACGGGATCGAACCCGTCTGTGAAACCCAGGGGGACGCCGTCTGATCGCGCTGTGTGTCATGACATAGGCGATCTCAGCACAGTGCGAACTGATGTTCCACTCAATGTGTTTGGAACACGCTTACTCTGCTTGCGTTTGATGCCTCTTGGCTTCTGCACTCCGTTCTCGGTTGCCCTGACGTTGACAACTGTCGATGTCGAATCTTTCCCTTCAGAAGTCTCACTGGCAGTGACATTCAAAACTTACCCACGTCCCCCGCTCTCCCCCATTGTGCCCTTCTCCTTCCTCCCTGAGTTCGCTTCTGTCCTGCCTTCTCTGTCCTTTGCCTTCCAGCCCTCTGTTCACTCTTGTCACTCGTCTCCGCTCACTGTTTCTGCTCCTCTTTCTCCTGCACCACCTTTGCCTACGCTGCCATGTTCTGCCCGTCGTCTCAACCTCATCCTAAACACATTCCTCTACCTCCTATTGCCCTTACTTCTGCTCCGCCCATTCACGAGGTACGGTATATGATGCGAGCATTTCCAGGCAACGCAGCGCACCTCTGCCCATCCCGAAAAGAGGAGCGGGAAGGAACTGGAGGATCAAGATATGCGCATCCTTCGCCAATGTTGTGCCCCCTCATCACGGCAACTACACCCGACACCTGAACGTACATGCCCCGGAGGAGGGAAGCGCACAACCCCACCCCTCCGCAAATCCTCGTCGATGAGCGGATGCGCCGCCATCGCGGACGATACGTATTGGTTCAGCACCGCTGGGAGAATCGATGCGTCGGACGTAATCTCTTCCCCGCGGGACGTCCAGAGCCCGCAGCACCCGAGTGCTCGGTGCTACCTGCCACCGGCGGCATGAGGTGCATGTCCAGCGCCGCCCTTGGGAGCGGGTCCGCCTGCAACGGTGAGACGCGGCAGCTCCAATGGGCAAGGTGCTCCGGCTGCTGACAAGCACTGACCTCATAAGCTGAACGTCATTATCTACATATGCGTGTGTGTGTGTGTGTGGGTGGGTGGATGGGTGGGTTGGTGGATGAGTGGAAGCCTCTCTCGCTCCCCCTCTCTCTCCTCTCTCTTTCTCTCGCTCCCTCTCTCTCTCTCTCTCTCCCTCTCGCCCCCCCCCCCGAACTTCCCGAATGGAGCGTCCACTCCCAGACGTGAGCGCCAGCATTGAAATATGGTTGCGGAAACGACGGCATGACTGAAAAGGTCCCCATGAGGAGTGTGCGCCTGGCTGTCGAAGTGGTCGGCGCGCTTCCTTGGCGATACAGATGTCATAGCATGATTCAAGTACACGTCTCGAACACTTACATGTCTGCACGGCCGTGGGCTGATCTTGCGCGCTCAGGCGCTTCTTCTCGATCCTCCCGTCCTCCGTGCGCGCTCGTACCATCTCGAACAATGCCAATTGCCTGTCACACGTGTCGGGACAAATCGGCAACTAAAGCAAGACATTACTCGAGAAGCCATCCGAGTGGCGCTACATAGAAATCGCAAAAGCTTTCATTCCTCTACTCCCTGCCCTTTGATGGCTCATGACGCCTCGGCTTGCAGCCTGACAAATCCATCCTCCAAGTGCATTTCGTCAGAGCTCGTGCCAAAGCTCGTGTGTGCTCAAAATCTCCACGACACATCCCTCCTGTCATGCACGGCCAGACCTACTCTGTCTGCCCTCGGCCACGCCAACTACTGGGTCGCGTGCGTGCTTCCGCGTCCACGCACAACGCAACACCACCAACACGCGTACGGCAGGTTCTTGTCGTGACGGCTCCAGGAGGAGGAGGAGGAGGAGGAGGAGGAGGAGGAGGAGGAGGAGGAGGAGGAGGAGGAGGAGGAGGAGGAGGAGGAGGAGGAGGAGGAGGGAGGAGGGAGGAGGGAGGAGGAGGAGGGAGGAGGGAGGAGGGAGGAGGTGGAGGAGGAGGGAGGAGGGAGGAGGGAGGAGGGGACACCGGGTTCATCCTTCAGCATTGAGCGACCGCGGCCTTCGGGCAGCGCGGATCGTTCGATGCCTATACTGAGGCAGGGCCATGGGCGGCGTCTTAAGCCTTGGACGCCCGCGCCGGGGTCGTCGCCGCATCGGCACGACACGAACCTGCCGCAGGAGGAGGAGGATGAGGAGGAGGAGGACGGAGGAGGAGGAGGAGGAGGTAGGAGGAGGGCGACGAGGAGAGGAGGAGGAGGAGGAGGAGGAGGAGGAGGAGGAGGAGGAGGAGGAGGAGGAGGAGGAGGGAGGAGGAGGAGGAGGAGGAGGAGGAGGAGGAGGAGGAGGAGGGAGGAGGGCGACGAAGAGGATGACGAGCCGCCAGGACGGGTTGTGGTGGTGCAGGCGGGCAGGCGGGCGGGCAGGCGGGCGGCTGGAGCAGTCGGAACTCCTGGCCACCGAGGGTGCGGCCGCTTCGTGGGCCGAGGCCGGCGCGGCCTGCGCTCCGCCGGAGCTGTCGCGCGCCTGCCGCGTGTGCCAGGACCACCTGTGCGCCTCGTCGGGACCTTCGCCTCCGGCTCCTGTCCAAGGCGTTCCTTTTCCTGTGCAAGCTCCTCGGCACCGCCTGCACCCCGGCCCGCCCTCCGGCCGCCTGAGGCCCCCCCCGCCTGTGCTCTTCTGTCTCCACAATTAGAGCTTTGCGTAGCCCGCCTAGCTTTTAACCGGAAGAGGTTCGCTCTCGACCCGCAGACCAAAATTAGCCTGGCGAAGGACCAACCATATGCAGTTGTGAATGCCGCAATTGTGCTGGGTGGTGGCGGACGCATGCGGGCGGTGCCACTGGGACCTTCGGTGGAGCTCCCTATGGGGCCACGAAACGCTGTACTGGGTGGGTGAGACGCGGTCAGCAAGGGCTGTGCTGCGTGGTGGCGGACGCATGCGAGCGGTGCCACTGGGACCTTCGGTGGAGCTCCCTATGGGGCCACGAAACGCTGTACTGGGTGGGTGAAACGCAGGCAGGGAGCAAGGGCTGCGCAGGGTGGTGGCGGGCGCATGCGGGCGGTGCCGCTGGGACCTTTGGTGGAGCTCCCTATAGGGCTACGAAGCGCTGTTCTGGGTGGGTGAAGCGCAGGGAACAAGAGCTGTGCTGGATGATGGCGGACGCAAGCGGGCGGCCTTCGTGGGCACGGCTCCGGGGGAGGAGGAGGAGGAGGAGGAGAAGGAGGAGGAGGAGGAGGAGGAGGAGGAGGAGGAGGAGGAGGAGAAGGAGAAGGAGGAGGGGGAGGAGGAGGAGGAGGAGAAGGAGGAGGAGGACGAGGAGGAGGAGGAGGAGGAGGAGGAGGAGGAGGAGGAAGAGGGGGGGGTTAAACAGGAAGAGCGGGGCAGAGGAAGGCAAGCAGTCGGCGGGGGAGGGGGAGGCCTCCTCTTGCTGCCCCTCCTGCTCCTCTTCCTTATCCCCCTCCTCTCCCCTATGCATCCTCCTCTTCCGCGTCCTCCTAACCCTCCCCCGCCGACTGCATCCCCTTCTCTTGGTAATTTTCCTCCTGATACTCTTCGTCCTCATTCTTGTTCCACTGCTCCTCCTGATCCTCCTGATCCTGCACTTCCTGTTTCACCCCCCCTCTTCCTCCTCATCCTCCTCCGTAGCCGTGCCCACGAAGGCCGCCCCCATTGGTAGGGGCTGAACTTTCTGGTGCAATTTTTGACGGGTCGGAGAGGCGGAAGAGGAGATGAGGAGGAGGCATAGGACGACGGACGAGGCAAAGGAGAAGAAATAAGAGGAACCTGGAGGCATCCGGAGGCCGCCATATCTCCGCAAGCCTTGAGGACGGGTGGAGCACCTGAAGGGGTAATCATCTTCCAAAGCACCAGCCCTTGATTCTCTCGAACCTCGAGGAGGAGGAGGAGGAGGAGGAGGAGGAGGAGGAGGAGGAGGAGAAGGAGGAGGAGGAGGGCGACAAGGACGAGGAGAGGAGAAGGCACAGCGGGAGGAGAAATGGGGGGCGTCCTGAACGGGCGCCTTTTTGGGCAGCATGCTGGCGTGAAAGCTGACGTCTCCCTTCTTGTGCCACAGCTTCATGAGGTGGCGCTCGAGGGGGAACGCGTGGGGATGATCTTCCAGTTTTGTCCTGGGGAGCAGGAGGAGGCCGACAAAGGGGAGGATGATCGAGTATTGGTGATGGCGGCCTTTGAGGTTTCTAGCCCCTTTCGGGCCTCTGAGACCTCCGTCATATTCTGGAGACCTCTGGCGACCCTAGAGACCTGCCGTCCTACCGGCACTCTGGGCGTGAGTGGTTTAGAGCGTTTCGTCTTAAATCTTCCCTGGTCCCCTTCGGGGAATAGGTTTCTCACTGTTCCCTATTAATATACACCCCCTCCCCCAGGCGACTGGAGCCAACCAGGGTCAATGCGGGCCTCCCCACACCATCCCTTGTACAAAACAATACAAACACACACTCTGCCTCCAAATTCGGAGCATGCGCAGCGAACCCGATGTGGCCTCTCCCCACCATCCCTGTCAAAAACAATACAGAGTACACTTGGCGGCGGCGGCTGCGGCGGCTGTGGCGGGGGCAGCGGCTACGGCGGCTGCGGCGGTGGCGGGGGCGGCGACGGCGGCGGCGGCGATGGCGGCGGCGGCGGCGGCGGTGGCGGCAGCGGCTGCGGCGGCAGCAGCTGCGGCGGCGGCGATTCGGCAGCGGGGGCGGCGGCGACGGCGGCGGCGGCGGCGGCGGGCGGCGCGGCGGCGGCGGCGGCGGCGGCGGCGGCGGCGGCGGCGGCGCGGCGGCGGCGGCGGCGGGCGGCGGCGGCGGCGGAGGCGGCGGCGGCGGATTCGCCCCCAGTAGCTGCCCATCCATAGACGACTGCTGAACATGCTGCGGCTCGGACCAGGCTCGGGTGCTACGTATGTGTTGGGAGGGCGGGTGGGAGTGAGCGAGACGGCGTGCGGGCGGGGAGGGAGTCTTGACCCCTCCTCCTACCCCCTCCCCCCTGGGCCTGAAGGGGGGGCGCGACCGATAAGAGCGTCCAAGATGACCTCGGCGAGAAGGCAAAACTCATTGATGTTACTCAGGTTTTGGGCCCATTTTGGCTTCTTGGGTGAAGGGGCGTAATATGGTACCCCCCCCTTCTTTGGTCGATCTCCTTCAAGATGGCCCCGATATGATCCCCAAAGCTCCCAATAGTGCCCCAAGCGGACCCCGAAAGGCGCCTAGGAGGACCCAAGAGGCCCCCAAGAGGCTCCCAAGAGGCTCCAAAGAGGCTCCCAAGTGACCCCAAGAGGCTCCCCCGAGGCACCCAAGACGACGATCCAAGAGACCTCAGGACCGCCACCGGGTCGCCAAGATGCCCCAAGTGAACTCTAAGAAGCTTTGAAGAGACATCCGAATAGACTCCGAGAGGCACCCCTGGAAGCTCTGGCCATTCTGCTCGCCCTCTGCTGCTCCTCCTCCTCCTCCTCCTCAACCTGTTCCTCCTCCTCCTCCTCTCTCCCTCTGCATTTCCCCCCTCCCCATCCCACTCCTCCTCCTCCTCCGCCTCCTCCTCCTCATCCTCCTCCTCCTCCGATTCCTCCTTCATCATCCCTCTCTTGGGGTACGACAGCTTCCCTAGTCCGTTATTACACTGCATGCTCCTACGCATCCCTGATCAAGGCAACTCGCCTGGTCCGCCCGAGCAGTTTTCATACGATGTCCAAAAGCCCTGGGGTGTAGGCGAGGACCCTCGTCGTGGATTCAAATTCCCTCCCAAGGGCGCGGTGTTTGTATACTGCGCGTTGCTCCGTGGGGTGTAATCTGACTGGGGTAGGGAGGGCGTGGTGTATACAAACAACTAGAAGACCTGGGCATCCTTTCTGGGTGGGGTGGGCTGGTGGGGCTGCGAGAAGCGTCTAGAATTTAGTCCTGGGGTTCGCGCGTAGCCTGCCTCCGCGAAGGGGGACACGCAGGCTGACAACACGACGCGGCAGGCGGAGGCGGAAACAGATGATGATGATGATGATGAAGATGAGGAGGATGAGGAGGAGGAGGAGAGGAGGAAGGAGGAGGAGGAATGCACAACCTTTCGCCGACCAAGACAAATATGTGTTGCAACTCCTGCTTGGCATTGATACGGCTCCAAGAACTGATCCCCAAACAGCGCTTGTCCTCAAGGGCTATTTCGTATTCCCTAGGCGCTGCTTCCACTCAGGGGTTCTCCCTATCCCCCCCAAGCAACGTCTGCACTCAGGGGTTCTTGTTTGCATTACTTCAGAAACTGGATGGGTGTGGCAAGGTCGCGCCACGTTCCTTGCCCATGCCGTCTCGTGAGCGCACCGAGCGCGCCAAGTTGATGACCGTGCCACCTTGTGGGCGCTCCGTGCTCTGAGCTTCCACGACATAACTATCACCACGTGCTTTGCACCACACAACCTACCCCGCATACAATACACGACCTAGCTTGTACCCACATAGCTTATACCTATACCACGTATCGTACACCACAACGTGCGCATCACATATATTAAACGACATCACCTTCACCATATAATTTGCATCACATAGCTAACACCGCAGGGGGTGCACAACTTAACTCAAGACGCTGATCTTGCACCCCCCCAAATAACGTCCATCTCCGATACACACCACCTAGCTGACAAGACATAGCTTCCACCACATAGCTTGCACCGCGCGGTGTTCACTCCCATAGCCCACACCACATGTCGTACAAGGCACAACCTGCACCGCATACATTAATCTGCATGTAGTACGCATCCAGCGTGGAACACCTCACTGGTTTTCGGGGGCGGCCAAGAAGGGGGCGTCCAACAGGGGGGAGGACAAATCATGGCCGGCGGCACGTGCGCGGCCCAAGGGGGGGCCGAGGCACGTAATGAAATAAAAAGAAGCGCCGCGAAACCTGAGGAAACATCATGGCCAAAACCATGATATCCACCCCCCCCTAGTCATCACCCCCCTCTCTGCCGCCCCCGAGGTTTGGATCCGCACCAGCGGACACAAATTACTTTCAAAGAACTGGATGGGCATCCCGGGAGTTCGCCACCTTACGGGACCGCGCCGCCTCGTGGGCGCCTCCTGGGCGCCCAGCGCTTGGGTTAAAGCGGGCCCGTCCCCCCACAGGCCGATTTTGAGTGAAAAGTTGAAAATGGTTAAGCCATGCCCTAAAATATTCAGACATGGTCAAACCATCGCCCCCAGATTATTTTTTACAACTATTTTTGAATCCTCCCCCTGCAGAGGGACAGGCCCGACTTAGCGTTTGGGGGAAGCTGCCGAGGCCGAGCCAGGTTGCCGCCCCTGCGGCCGCCTCTTCGGGCGGCTTCGCGGGCGCCCCGTGCCCGGGGCGTCTGTGCCGAGGCTGCGCCGCGCTGCCGCCCCGTGGGCGCCCCGTGGGCGCCCCCGCGTGTTTGAGCTCGCCTTCTGCTTCTTCCGGTGCTTCGCCGCCGGGTTCCTGTCCAAGGCGTTCCTTCGCAAGCACATCGTCCTCGGCACCGCCTGGTTCCGGGGCTTTGCCCCCTCCTGGCCTTGACGTGAGGCCCTTCCTTCTGCCCCCCCTCTCGTTAATTAATTCAAGCTGTGCGCGGCCCGGTGAGCTTCGACTGGGAGAGGTGCGCTCTCGACCCGCGGACCAAAAAAAGTGCTTGAGCTCGCGCGGCACAGCTTCCGCCACGCAGCTTGCACCGCACAGTTTGCACCGCACAGCTTGCACAGCACCCGCCATCGCTTGGACGTCCATTCCCCGTGCATTGTCCGGTTCTGTGCGTGGCTTTTTGCTCGATGGTCCAGGATGCTCCTCGATTGTCGTCGCCGAGAAAAACGAAGCACACGTCCGAGAGATGCCAAGAACATAGCTTGCACCGCATACAGTCGCACTCGATTGGGCAGGGCACGCGAGAGGACACAAGACCCTTCCGAGGGCCACACTGCCACAGGAATGTAGGAAGCATGGGTCGCGACGCACAGGACACAAAGGTACCCTTAACTTGGCAGGGTCGACCTACTAATCTGGGCCAGCTGTAGCTCACACATCATAGCTTGCACACAGGAAACTGCACATACAATACACACGCCGCAAAACGTCCGCCGCAAATGTGGCATTTCCGTAGCTCACGCCGCATAGCTTGCACGACGTAACTTTCACGACATGGCTTGCACCGCGTAATTTACACTGCATGGCTTCCACCCCAACGCCTGGGGTCCACTCTGGAACTTTTTTGATCCGCGGGTCGAGAGCGCACCTCTTCCGGTCGAAGCTAAGCGGGCCGCGCACAGCTTTAATTAACAAAGAGGGGGGGCAGAAGGAGGGGCCTCACGTCAAGGCCAGGAGGGGGCAAAGCCCCGGAATCAGGCGGTGCCGAAGACGATGTGCTTGCAAGGGAACGCGTCCACTCTGGAACACGTTTACACAAAGAAATGGCTGGGTGGATGGGTATTCCGTGTGTTCCACACGCTGCGGGCCCGTGCCTCCTCGTGGGCGCCTCCTGGGCGCTCCGCGCTCGAAGGGCCTGCCGAGGTCGCGCCACGTGGCCGCCCGTGCCGCCGAAAGGGCACTCCGTGGGCGCCCCGCGCCCGGGGTGTGTGCCGAGGTTGCGTCACGCTGCCGCCCTTGCCGCCCCGTGGGCGCCTCGTGGGCGATCCGCGCTTCGGGGGCACGCCGAGGTTGCGCCACGCTGCCGCCCTTGCCGGCTCGCGGGCGCCTCGTGGGCGCCTCGTGTTTAGCTCACACGACATGGCTTTCACCACATAGCTTACACCACGTAGCTTACCCCGTATAACTTGCACAACATAGCTAACGTCATACACCTTGCACTGTGTAACTTCCACCTCCAGCTCGCACCCGATACTCTGCACGTCCTGGCTTACATCACTTCGCTAACTCCGCATATATTGCACAGCATGGCTTTCGCAACGTAGCTGACCTGCCTGCATCTTACACCCAATAGCTTCCACCTCCAACTTACACCGTATAGGTTAACCGGCCTAGCTTGCACCACGTATTTCCAGCGGCATAAATTTCACCTCCATAGCCCACACTACGCAACTTATACGTCCTAGCTTTCACAACATAGCTTACACCACATAGCTTGCACCGCACATGCTTCACCACCTTGGTGCAATAACGCATTGTTTGGGGTCCACGCTGGCTAAAATGTTTAATCACATAGCAGCTCTCCGTTTGTACCCCTGCCATGTTATTGCATCTTAGGAATTGGCACAACACTCACCCCAGAAAACTCTTGCGGCTCCTTGAAAGGATGGCAACTAAAGGAGAAAGCATGATGGGACAGACGGGAAAGCTGAAACGATCGCAATTACAAGTTGGTCGCCCACTACACGGACGGAGCTGGCAACCCGACAATTACCTCGTGCCCACGCTTCATCAATCAAACCCGCACCTGCGTTGCAACTTCCTCTTGTTTCTGATGCGCGTCCCGGCGATATGTAGCAATCTCCACGGAGCAAAATTTCGTGCCATCGCTTCCGCTCCCAGTGTCCCTGGCTAGCGCATGGCCATGACCTTCAATTTGCGGAGAAAGCCGGCACCGAGTGGAAGTATTTGCTATCATTCGCGCCTCCCGTTCGGGTTCTTGAGCTCGGATCATGTGATTGAAGTGTGTCACGGTTGGCCGCCCCGCGGCTCTTTGAAGCTGCTTTCACTGAGGATGCCCAGCCGAAAATCTCAGATGTGTGCGATCGAAAGCTGAAACCATGTTGCGTGAATGGCCTCATGGTACTCTCATTGGGCAGATGTTTTCACGTGGGCCGTGGTGCGGTTTCGGGCTGCAGCCCTGAGTTGACGCGGAGCGTCTTGGGTGCTGTTGCGAAGGCCGCGCTGCCCGAAGCGTTCAGCAGCCAGCTTCAGCGCAATCCTTGCCGTCGCAGTTGCTCCACGCCGGCCGCGCTACCAGAAGCCTCGTCGTTGGTGCCAGCACGCGACGTGCGAGCTGTGGGCGAGCGTGCCAGCGAGCACGAGGCAAGGCACCCTGGTGAGTAGGAATGCGTTTTCCTCCGGCCAGAACGTCAAGACGGACGCCGGGGGTTTGAGAGGTCCGTGGTGCCACCGCGCCGGCAACAGATGCGCCGCCCCGAGCTCCGAACCTGGGCTGGGTGTCGTGGACCAGTGGGTCAGCTTCTCCCTGAGGAAGTATCAGGACTAAAGGCGGCATACAGTGGAGGCCCGTCCACAAGAAACCTTCCACGAGAAACCCAGCCCTGAGACCCCAGGACGTCCATTGACTTTTGGCGTGGGAGCGTCACGCTTCCTTCCCATGGCAAAACCGTCGAAACGCAAGAAACCCAGGGCACCCTGGAGACAACCAGGGTGTTTGTTGGCATGGGCCCTCATTGTAAGCATAATCCCTGGGAGGTCCGCACGGATTTCTGGGATCGGCGCTGGAAAACCCCTCCCTGACGCGCGCGGGGCGCGCCAGGGGGGCTCCCACGCCGATCCAAGAGACCCGTGCAGATCTGGGATTCTGCCCTGTCGGGCAACACCGCGCAGCGGCAGCACGGCGCCTGCGCCGGCCCGCCCGCTCGAGGACGCCCTGCAGCGCCGCGAAGGCGAGGCAGTGGGCGTCGAAAGCGACGAAACTCTGAGAGAGAGTGTGCTCATGCCGTTCGGTTGCTCTTCGACCTCCTGTCTTAAGCTGAGGCCACAGCGTTGGCACCCGGCTTCTTGGCGCTGCCTGCTTGCTCGCGCAGGCCTCCCCGCCCACGGCGTCGAGAGGCCGGGCGCCTGCGCCCGCGCAGCGCACGCCCGCGCTGGCGATCGCGGCGCGCCTCCTGGACGAGCTCGGCAGCGGCCGCCGCAACGGCCTGGGGACGGGACGTCACATGAGAGGAACAAGAAACAGCATAAGCAGAAACTCTCGGATGTCCGCGCGGATGTCCTGGATCTGCGCTGATCCCCCCTCCCTGGCGCGCAGAGCGCGCTAGGGGCGGCGCCAGAGGCGCCGCCAGGGGGGGATCCAATTTAGATCCAAGAAATCCGCGCGGAGTTCCGACAAATTATGCTTACGCAGTCTGTTTCTGATTCGAAACATGCTGATATGCAGCTGGCCCTCAGGCTCGCTCGTCGGCCGCCTGGTTGCCCAGTCACGCGTGGAACGGGAGTACGGCGGTCCACAGGCACATAAAAAGACGCAATCAACAATGCAAATGCAACTGCGCCAGCTTCCTCCAACGAGCTCCCGTCCGACAGATGCCAAAGACGGTTGCATGGCAGAATGCGTGATGATAAAGCTCAGCCGCCACTCGCTCCATCCATGCACACGGTTCGGCAAACGCGCTCGACCATTTATGCAACCACTAAAACAAAATTACCGATTATCAACACTCGAGGGCTATCCCAGGTCAAATGCTGGTGTCCGTAGACGTGCATCGGCTTCCTGCGGATGACTCCTGCGAGTCAGTAATTCGCAAGAGCGGAGAAGCGCGACAACTGTTCCGCGCTCACGGTGGCTGAAGATCCATAGATCCATCCCTAGAACTCCCAAAGCAAGCCCAACATTTGCTCCAAACCCGATGCTAAACTCGCAACTGGTTCACCCGGTCATCCGCCAGCTCGTAGATGTTTTCGGCGTTTGGTCACACCAAGGTTGCAACACCCCCCGACATGTCACGAGCGCAATACACAGATCTTGACCGTGCTTCTGAAGGTGTGGGCGCGCGGCCTGACTAACCGAGTCACGCGCGATTGCGCAGGTGCATGTCTTGTTTGGCAATCGCGCTGTTCTCCCTCCCCCATTCTCGCGCGGACTTGGTACCCCAAGGTGCTGGCAAACATGCTTTTGCACACGCGTGCATGCGTGCCCTCGTTGGTGCGCAGGCGTGCACAGTGCCATGCTGCGCGCGCACGCTGACGATTGAAGGTTCGCTCGCACTGTAGAGCGCCCTCTTTCTTGATGCTACTGGGCTCCGCAGTTGACGGAGGGGGACTTTAGGATGCGAAGGTGCAAAACTGATCCTTGGCCTGAAGCATGGGTGACAACATCCTGTGAACTTTTAGTGCCCGAGTCCTGTTCTTCTCGATCTTGTGCTTCGAGCTGAAGTGGCTGTACTTGGCATGCTCGCTGGTGTTCGTGTCAAAGCCTCGCCCCTCGATCCCCATGAGAGAAACCCACGCGCACAACAGACGAGCGGACGAGACACTGAGAGAAAGTAAAACAACAGGGGCATGGAAGTCCGACCGAGGAGGGCGCTGCCTACCAGGAAGCAATCGCTCTGCACTTTTTCACGGACATGATGGCAACTACCCTCCAATACATCAACCGAACACAACTGCACCAATGTCTTTGGAGTGGTTAACCGAATGACTTCCACAACACGTATCAGGTGTACGGGAGCAGATCGAACAACCTTCAACAACATCGATGCGACTACGCCCGGAGGAACCGCACAATGATGAACTACACCAGATAACGCAAGACACGTGAACGCCGAGACCCTGCAAAACTATGAATTCAAATTCAAATATGTTTCGTGTACAAAAAGAGCCAGGAAGTTCGTAATGTCATTACAACACATATATGTTGAAGCTGTTGGAAGAAATTCGCATCGACCAGATCAGAGGTTGGGCAGCCTGTTTGAACATGTTAACAACATTTCAAAGATCGGCCAGGTCTCCCGTATGGACAACATTGTCGTCACTTCGATGCAGACCGTTCTGGCGTATTCACGCTGCCCAATGCCCATACGTTATATGAGTGAGTGCCGTCCGCTCCTCTCTGACCTGTTCTTTATGCAGGGCAGCGTCGGCTGCACCCTTCTTCCTTCGTCGTTGTAACATTATTCCTTTGTCGCTGAGTCTTGCGTTCGTTTGCCGCTGCAGCGACAACCCTTCGCCTTTCTCAAAACATATGTTTGTCGTTGCATCATGGTCCCTTCTCTTCCCGCAGGACAGCGGGCGGGCATGGGTAGGAGGGGCTCGCGATGCAAAGGGAGATGAATGGCTCAGCGGGGAGGGACCTTGAGGTCTAGAGGTTAAGCCAGGGCCAAGCGGCAAGGCACTGCGCAGGGTCAACGAACATCGATTGCCATTGTTACAAACATGTGGTTGCGCTCTCTACCGGAATCGCGCGGGCTCGATCAAAGTGTGCGGATATGCGCGCGGGCCCGAGAGTGCCGAATACGGATACCGTGTGTCCAAATGCAAAACGTGTTTGCGTCTGCTTACCTTGCGACGTACCTAACCCATAAACATGCGTATGCAACGCTCAGGAGCCCACGAAGGTGACGACCGTTGCGCAGTTCGCAGCCCCCCAGAGGCGACGAGGTCGAATATGGATCTGCGCAGAAAGTCTCAGGCTGCGCTTCCTGGGAGCTAACGAACGTGGTGACGGTTTCGCAGTTCATAGCCCCCAAAAGACGACGAAGTCTAATCTTATCCGCGAAGGGCATTTCGGCGCTGGAACTTCCAAAACTCCACGACAGTGGCGACAATTTCAGTGCACAGCCCCGCAGTAAAGGCATCTGGCCTACCCAGGAGCGCACGAAAGTGGCGACAATTTCACAGTGGCAGTCCCGCAATGAAGGCGAGGGCGAATTAGATCCGCGCAGGACGTCGCTGCGCTAGCCCTCCCAGGAGCCCACGAAATTAGTGTCAATCTCGCATGTCGCATACCTGCTGGGACAGCGAGGTCCCGTTTGGTCCGCGTGGGGGAAGCTTCTTAGAAGGAGGCTGCTTCTGTAGGAAAGAAACAACGCCACAAGCGGAAACTTTTGGCGCTCCACGCGGACTTCTTGGATCTGCGCTGGGCCCACCTCCCTGGCCCGCGGAGCGCGCCAGGGGCGGCGCCAGAGGCGCCGCCAGAGGGGCACGGCGCGGATCCAAGAAGTCCGCGCAGAGCGCCTAGCATGTATGTCTACGGCGTTACGTTTTTCTCCCCGATTCTAAGAAGCCTTCTAAGCCTTCTTCCCTCACCGCCCTTCTGCGCGTGGGCCGCACCTCCGGGCGCCGCGGCCTGCTCCCAACCGTCCAGTGGTGCCGGGTCCTCGTTTTGAGGAGACAACGCCCCGCGTTCCTTCCTTCCGTCCTTGCTCCTCTCCTTCCTTCCTTCCTTCCTTCCTTCCTTCCTTCCTTCCTTCCTTCCTTCCTTCCTTCCTTGCTCCTCTCCTCCTCATCCCCCCTCCTCCCGGCCCGGCCTCTGCCTCCCCTGCCCCAGTACAGCGCTTCGTGGCCCCACAGGGAGCTCCACATAAAGGCCCCCGTGGCGAAGTCCGCATGCAGTTTCCCCACCCAGAGTACAGCGCCTCGTGGCCCCACAGGGAGCTCCACCGAAGGCCCCAGTGGCAGTGTCCGCATGCGCTTCTCCCATCCAGTACAACTCTTCGTGGTCCCAAAGGAAGCTCCACCGAAGGCCCAAGTGGCGGTGTCTGCATGCGTATCCCCCACCCAGAGCAGCGCTTCGTGGCCCCATGGGGAGCTCCACCGAAGGCCCCAGTGGCGGTGTCCGTGCGTATGCCCCACCCAGAACAGCGCTTCGTGGCCCCATAAGGGGGCTCCACCTGAGGCCCAGCGGCGGTGTCCACATGCGGTTCCCCCACCCAGTATACCGTTTCGTGGCCCCACAAGGGGGCTCCACCTGAGGCCCAGTTGCGGTGTCCCCATGCGGTCCCCCTCACCCAGCACAGCGTTGCGTGGCCCTATAAGGAGCTCCACATCAGGCTCCACTGGCGGCGTCCACATGCGTCTCCAATATCCAGCACAGCGCTGCGTGACCCCATAGGGAGCTCCACATAAAGGCTCCACTGGCGGCGTCCACATGCGCCCCCCCCACCCAGCACAGCGCTTCGTGGCCCCACAGGGAGCTCCACCGAAGGCCTCAGGTGGCAAAGCTCGCATGCGTCACCCCCACGCAGTACAGCGCTGCGTGGCCACAGGGAGCTCCACCGAAGGCGATACCCACAGCTGCGGCACTCACAACTGCATACGGTTGGGTCCTTCGCTGGGCCACTTTTTTCACGGGGCGCCCTCGCCCCGACGTCCTCGGGAGCTGGCGCCCATGGACTCCGCTCGAGAGCTGGTTCGCACGAAAGGAGGAGGCTAGTAACGTCGGACCTGCCCCCCCCCCCCCCCCAGAATCAAACGCAAGGTTTCAGTGGTGGCCGACGCGCGAAACGCGGCCCACGGGGTCCAAGTTTTTTGTTTGCAGTGGCCAATACCGGCGCGAACGTGGGCATGTTGAGGTCCTGGGGCGCCGCCACGTCGCCGGAAGAACTTGCGTTTGATTTCGAGGGGGGATGTGGGATACAAGAGCATCCCTCAAGAACACGGAAGTCTCTGCTGGCCAACACAGACGTAACATCCCTCAAGAACACGAGGCCTCCCCGGGGTGCACAAGAACATCCGACGAGCACGAAGAGCACCAGGGCACTCTCCCCGAGCCGACCTCGATCTTGAACCTCGGCCCGATTGTAGTCAAATCGGCGGTGGACAAACCTCCCTTTAGTAAACCTCCCCTTAATGAAAACGGCCTGGGACCGAAACCGACGGACCTGGACCCGCAAAAATAGCGGCCGCGACGCCCTCTCGCGAACCGAAAACGGCCAATTCGCTAATCGACGTGTCATGTCATGAGGTTGATCCACCTCCGATAAAAGAGGGCGTCGTCGAATCAGCCCACGCGAGCGACGACCAGCAGCGGGCCTTCCGCGAGGTGGCGTGGCGGCCTCACGCGGTGGCCTTGCGCGAGCCGCCGGCGCGCCGCACGCTCTGAGCACACACACACACACACACTGGCGACGGGGGCGCGTGCGTGCGACCCTGCGCGGGCAACTTGTTTTTTGTTTCGACCCTACTGAAGGGGCCCTGGGACACACAAATAAGTACACACAAATAAAAATATGCCCCATGTTTTCCCATATGTTCTGGGTTCCTGTCTTCCCCCCCACTTCCCATATGTTCCCATCTTTTCCTGGAAATCGACGATGCATTGTGTCTGTGTGTGTTTTTGTCCCCTCTGGACCTGCGCGGGCAACCTGCGCGCCGACGTCGGCGCAGACGAGCCCGTGCTCCCGAGCCGCCCACGGGGCCGACTCCCCCAAACAAATTCGGCGGCGGGGATCCACAGAGCGGCCGCGCGCAGCGGCCTCCCTGCAGCCCCCCCCCCTCGCTTTCCCTAAGGACCTCCCCCCCCCTTGTCGCCCGCTCCGGGAGGCATGCCGCGGGAAGCTGTCGGGTCTGGGGCTCTCCCGGCGCGATATTTCTGTTGCGGCGCTGCGATCTCTTCGCGACGTCTACGGACGAAGCCAGGACGAGGGTACTGCAACATCGGGTGAGGGTAGATCGAGAAGCTCTGAGATCCAGCGGCTCTGGAGGATGTCTCGGGCGTCGTGGCCTTCTCACAGCGTTCCGGAACAGAGCGCTCCAGAACGCTCTGGAACGGATGTATACTCGCCGTAGCCCCGTCCGGACGACGGATCTCAGGGTATACGGCTGGGACCCCGTGGGCGGGTTCGGGAAAGTTAAGAGCCAGAGACTCTCAGGCCAGGGTGCAAGGGACAAGCAGGGCAACCGTCTTGCAAAGGTATCTTTCGGGCGAGGGGCAGGCAGGAAGAGGGGCGGGGGTAACGCATCATGGCCGAGGCATGTGCGGGGACGAGGGGGCCAAAGAACGCATTTAATTAAGAAGACAAGAAAGAAGCAGAAAAAAAGGAGAAGAAGAGGAATAACAAAAGCCAACAACCATCTAGCAAAGGTATCTTTCGAGTGAGGGGCAGGCAGGGAGAGCGGGGGTGTAGGCATTTGGGCGGACGAGGGGGGCCAAGGAACGCATTGAAATAACAAACAAGCATAAGAAGACGCGTCAGGCAACTGCTGAGCACAGGAAGGAAAACAACATAACACAACAACCGTCTTGCAAACAATAAACTTCGGGCGAGGGGCAGGCAGAAAGAGAAGAGGGGGTTGTAGCGCATCATGGTTGTGCGCGGACGAGGGGAGGCAATGAACACATTGAAATAATAATTATAACGACCAACGGGCACGACGATAATCATAATGAGCAAGATGGACAATAAAGCGAACACAAAATAAGCTAACGTCGTGCAAAGGCATCTTACGGTTGAGGGGCATTCAGGAAAAGAGGGGTTAGCGCAGCATGGCCCGAGGCATGTGCGCGGACGAGGAGGCCGAGGAACGCATTGAAAGTAGAACAATAAGGATACTAGGAATACTATTGATAGTAAAAATGATAAACACAGTTTGAGAAGATAAGGGAGAAACACAAGAGGGAGCAGGAAATCCTGGAGCCGTCATGGCCCTGGCCATGCTATCCACACCTAGCCTAGTCCTCATACCCTCCTGGAGAGGAGGAGGACGACGACGACGAGGAGGAGCAGGAGGAGGAGGAGGAGGAGGATGATGAGGAGGAGGAGGTGGAGGAGCCGGAGGAGGACTAAGGGGGAGGAAAAGCCTCCTGGATCTTACCCCTCAACCCCTCCTGGGCCAGCTCCCGCCCTCCCGGCGACGCCCCCCCGCGGCCGTAGAGCGTGATCTTCCCGCACAGCTCCATGGCCGCCAGGATGGCCATGAAACCTCGGCGCCCGGACGAGCCACCGACCGCTCGGGCGCCCTCTGCCTCCACGTGGCGAGCTCCCGACACCCTGACCCCCCAAAAACCGTGCCATCTCCTTGCCGTCGCTCGGACGTCCATTCCCTGTGCGCTCTTCGGTTTTGGTGCGTGCTTTTCTTGCTCGATGATCCAGGATGCCCTTCGATGGTCCTCGCCGAGAAAAAATGCACACGTCCGAGCAATGCCAAGTCTCTGAGGGGGGCGATGTCAACCCTGAAAGCCTGAAAAGGAGGAGGAGGAAAAGGAGGAGGAGGAGGAGGACAAGGACGAGGAGGAGGAGGAGGAGGAGGAGGAGGAGGAGGAGGAGGAGAGACGAGGAGGAGGGACGAGGAGGAGGAGGAGGAGGAGGAGGAGGAGGAGGAGGAGGAGGAGGAGGAGAACGAGGAGCTCGGCAACGGCTAGAAAGGTGCCATCACATTAAACATGCATCAAGCAAACTCCAAACGATTTAGGGGGGGGTCAAAATCCTCCCCGGGCGGCACAACCTGCCGGCGGCGCTCTTGCGCTCGAAGCCCGAGCGACTCCGCCTCTTCCCGAGAGCGGAAACCAAAAAGTGACAGGCCTCGCAGGAGGTCGACCCCAGTCCCCGCCCAAGCACACCCACCCCCGCCCGACATGGACGCAAGAGAGCCTCTGGACAGAGGGGGCGCTAGCTGCGGGAGGTCGTCCAGACCCATCTTGGCTGCCAAGTAGTCTCGAGAGGGATCCGATAACACGGCCGCTCGCGAGACCCGAAACCCTTGCTTCGAAGGATGGCGGCCGCGCAATATCCAATCCAACTGCCTCTCACGACCCGAGGAACGGTGGCCCAGACAATCTGACGCTAGAGCCGTTTTTCCCCCGTGCCCTCCTACGGCACAAACCGAACCGCAGCGAGTGCAGAAGGCCAGGGAGCCGGCCGCAGCCCCCGCGGGGTCCGTGACCCCACACTGGATGATGTGGTGGGCGCGGGCTGGCCAGACATGGAGGTCGGGCCATTCGGCCCTGCCCTCCTTACCTTCCTCGCCCACCCTCCCCGACTCCCGACCCGTCCCGCCACTCCCAGGAGGAGGAGGCTCAGGAGGAGGAGGAGGAGGTGGAGGAACCTCGTCGGGGAGAGGAGGGACCTCAAGGGTGATGTGCCTAAGCCAATCGATGCCGACATGGTCGAACTGCTGACTGTCTCCAATCCGAGCCTCTTGCTCAGCCGAGAATTTGCAAAGAAGACGGGCCAACTCGAAGCAACCATCGACGACGGCACGATCGGCGGCAGCGATTCTACCCAAAGAGGCACCCTTCTTCGCATATTCGTCCGCAGCCTTGTTGCCGAGATACTCAAGTCGACTGAGCTTCCCATACTCGACATCACGAAGGATGCTATGGGCTGGCACTTTATGCCACCGCACACCGTCAAGCTTATCATACACATACTGCCACAGATGCGATCGAACATTATCGGGACACACAGCTCCCACTGGGTCCGAAACATCCCAAGGGTCCCCGCACAGTCCCCATACAAGTTGGCCCCGGGGAAAACTGTAGCATGGCGGACAAGGGAGACCACAGCGTAGTCCTCACCGTCGCGAGCGACCTGGGCTGGAGCAACGCTTAAGGGCACACGCCCCCATATCGCACGGGCAACTTTCCCCCACCCGTCCGTCACAATCACCGCCCATCCCGCCGATCGAATCCTAGGGAGAGCAGGCTCGTAGCACGAGCCGTCTATGAACACATGCGCCCCCTCTCCAAGCACCAGACCTTCGGCGGGCCAGTTGTGCCTGTAGACCGTGGCCTCGGGGTGCAGAGAGGGGCGAGTGAACCAACAAGTGGGGTCAGGGAGCACGCACCTGGCAAACAGCTCTTGGGCTCTGGGTGAGAGGAGGCGCACGCGATCCGCCGCCCGACGCAAGTCCGGGCTCAACACATCGCGCCGCCACGCCTCGTGGGCAGGGCAATCGAAGCGACGATGAAACATGGTGCCCGAGGGAGCCTGGCAGACCAAACAAGCAGGAGAGATGTCCTGACAGGCGTCGTGACATCGCTGCTGGCACCAATACATATTGGCAATCAGGCTGCGCAAGCAGTGGCGACAATGATCAGACCAGACTGAGCTATGCTTCGAAATCAAATCGAGAGCCGGCTTGAGACAGATGGGGCCGCGCCACTCGGCGCCAAAATCACTCTGCCGCACCTGCTCTTCCATCACAATAGCTTCCTCGCACGCTTCGCGCACGCGAAGGGCGAAGAAGGCTGGGAAAACTCAGACAAACTCCAGGAGCGACCCGCCTGGTCAACCAAAACCTCATTTGGGACATCCAACCTCGAACGGATCCGAGCAAGCGTCAGAACAAGGGCAGCCAGAGGCTGCTTGGCGGAGCCCCAGGGCCTGGGTTTGCTCGCAGACAGGAGCGCGTCTTCAAACGCCGAGAGGAGCACCTGCTTCGTGACGCTGCGGTGCCACCAAACTGACACAAACGCCTTGGCGGGGTCCACCGTCGTTGAAACGAGAGGGTCACGCTGGGGGGCCCCACAAAGGAGGAAGGTGAGGCCAAGGGAGGAGCCAGGCTGAAGGGGGCCGAAGGACCTGGCAGCGGCCACCCTCAGAGTCCGCAGAGCCGAATTCCCAAGACCATTAATGTGTGCACCCCACGTGGCCTTAGCGACTGGACCCGCCCTGTGGACCCGAGAAGCCCCCCTACCCCGCCCGATTTTGGTGAGCCGAGTCGCTGCAGCCGACGCGGCAGACAGGCGAGCGCGCTGCGTGGGCACCCGACGGCCCTTGCCGTCGGAGGCGTCCCCACCGAGATCACGGTGGGTGGAAGCGAAAAAAGACTCATCGAACGGCCAGCGACTGTCCGCCAACAGCGCGCCCGCGAGCTCCGACGTCGAACAGAGGACGCACGTCTTCACCAAGTTCAGTGGCAGGTCGAGCTTCTCCATCTCCTTGATCACCATGTTGGCTGCCGCGACCAGCTGGCTGCACACCGTGCGGAGCGTGCCGATCGCGTGGACCTTCAGGTCGTCGACGAGATTCAGCGGCCGGACAACGGGCGTCTCCACCACGATCTGCCGGAGAACGCTCAGCGTCAGGAGCTTCACCACGCCAGTCGCGCAGCTGCAGCCCGCGATCACCGTGCCGTTGGGCAGCGCCGCCCGTGACGTGGCGCCGAGCCACCTGGCCCGCCTCGGGCCGCGGTAGATCGCGCATAGGCACCTCAGCAGCTGCAGGTCGAAGCCGAAGTGCCGCGCCGCCACAACCAACATGCAGTGGGAGACATTCTCGAAGAACTTGATGACGCCGAAATACAGCGTCCCAGAAACGAATCCGTGGCGCTTGGCGTGCACTACGAGCAAGTTGTGGATGTAGGCTGCGCGGTCCGCCGCCGCGTCCCCGCTCTTGCCCCAAAAGGAATCGGCGTCGACCGAGCGCTCCCAGGCGCGGACCAGGCCCTGGCGAATCTTCGACCACACCCGAGGCCAGAGCCCCATCAGGCCGATGGGCCGCCTGCCCACGTCGGGAGGCGGCTTTGGGATAAATGCCATCATCGTCGTCCAAAGGTCGGGCACCTCGGCCGAGTCCTCGAACTGGTTCAAGATGGCCGTGAAGCGCTCGACCAGGGGGTCTGAGAGCTCGTTGAGCAAGCGCGGGCGGAAGTTGTCCCAGCCGAGGCCCTTCCTGCGCCCGAAGGAGAGGGGGGCCGTCCGCACCTGGTCCACGCTGATGGCCCCGAGCGTGCGCGGCACCTGCCAGCTGGCCGCGGGGGCCTCCCTCGCCCTCGACGGTTTGTCCCACAAGGGCATCCACTCCAGCACGATGGCCTCCACGGCCAGCGCCCCCACCTGGGGAAGCCCGGGCGCGCCGCCAGGCAAGGATATCGGCCGCGGCTCCACGGGCTTCGGCTTGATCAGCTTGCGAGCCACACGGCCTGACCCAGCCAGCGACGCGTTGCGAAAGTCGCGCCACAGCCGCGCCTGGGCAGCAGCATCAGCTCTGCGCCGCCGCGCGAGCTCGTCCTCCAGGAGCCCTTCGAACCACGGCGCGAGCGGGCTGTTCCGCTCGGCGAGGGCCAGCCACGCGTCTGGCGTGGCGGTGACAAGCGCAACGTGCTCCGAGACCGCCGGCGGCAGAGTGATGGCGCGACCCTGCAGCATCAGACCCTCCTGCACGAAGGACCGCTTGGCCTTCGAGCCGCGCGGGGCCCTGCCCCAACGGAGGGGCGCCCGCCAGATTCGCAGGAAGCTCCACCAAGCCTCTGTGTCAGAGGAGTCGTGGCGTCGTTGCCGGCGCTCTTGGACGTCGAGCAGCGGCCTCTCCACCAGGCGGATCCCGCGCCCACGGCCCCGATGAAGATGGGCCTTGGAGGCCTCCACCTGCCGGGAGCGGATGAGCGACCGCTCGGCCAGGTCGAACCAGCCCGCGCACGTCACCTGGAGGTCCGACAGCGGGACTTGCAGCTCCGCCAGCTCACACTGCGTCTCCTACTCCGTGGCAGGCCGTGGCCCAGCAGCCTCGCCAGCGTCCGTCGCGGGGCTCACCTCCGGCTTCTTGGCCACCGAGAATGGCCGCCTGGGGTCCTCGACCCAGACCTCCGGCTTGCTCCAAACACGGTCGAGGGAGCAGCTGACCTGGTCGTGAGGCCCCGCCGGCGTTCCAGCAAACGCCCGCGCAGCCGACGCGCAGGAAGACAGGGACCTCGATACCACGAAGTAGTCGTAGTCGTTGTCATCGCAAGTCGGGGCGCCACTGCTAATGAGGAGGCCACCGATCTCGTCGAGCCAGCCGCTGGAGGCGAGGTCGTCCGCGTCGATGTTCCAGTCCCCTGCCGGGAGGAATGGGGCGTGGTGCTGCCCCACAAGCGCAGCGACCTCCGCCAGGAGCGTGATGTTGTCGCCCGTCAGCCCGATCGACGTGATCAGGTACACCGAGAGGCACAGGAAGACCGAGCCCTCGCCGAGGTGGATCTTCCTCGCCACGATGCGGTGC